TATATATATATATATTATATATACATACATATACACACACATATAAAAACATGTTCAGATACACATTGCAGCCCTATGCAAGACAACTCAGAAGAGGCTGCACCCCAATATTTATGCTAGACAGATAAGATTGACAGTTTGTATATTTCTGTTTGTGGGGTGTTTCCAAGTCTCTGAAAACACACAAGTGTGCTCTTAGTGCACCAAAAGATCCCCAGCACCAGGCTTACCTAGACCAGAAGCAATGGCCCAATATATCAGCAAGCACTGATGACACAAACCATGATGGGGACGTCTGCTGACATCTGAAAGAGCCAACAGACTTTGCAATTGTCACTCGATCATACAAAATCCGCTGCATTGTGCGCCCACTGTTATGGCTAAGTGGATGCTTGAGTATTACAATGAATTGTGCTCCATAGAACGCGGCTGCTCACATCTGCACAGCGGGCCTAGTCTGCAGGATGGAGCGGGCAGATGGGGACCGAGCAGTATACGGCTGGGTGACTCCGGCAGGCTGGGCCCACTCACAGTGACACCGCACTGCACTCAGCACACGCTCCCCCAGCCGCGGCCTACACGCAACGCCTTAGAAGTGACAGCTAGGCCTCACTACCGTTCCCGACCACAGGCAAAGCATTACCAGCACCCTACTCGCCCTCTCTGCCGTGCTCAGTGTTGCACTACAGGTAAACCCGAACTGTGCAGCGACAATCCGCTCACCTGAAGTCTTTATCGCTGGATGTCATCTTCTCCAGCAGGTTGGAGATGTGGTACGAGGCGCTCGCCATGTTGACGTATCGGGCCAGTCAAGTCTCCCGTGCCCGGTGCAGCCTCCTGTCCGCCTAGAGCCACGCGCCTGGGTCGCTGCAGCGGCGGCAGGGAAGGGAGGCGGGGGCGCGCACAAGCCTGTTTCGGGAATCCGCCTTCCCTGTGTACGTGAGCGCCCCCGGGAGTCCCCGCCCAGCTCCGCCGGCTGTCGTCTGGCCGATGTGCGCAAAGTCTGCGAGCTGCGGGAGAGCAAGGCCTCTGAGGGAGCTCGGTGCCGGCTTCAGCTTGTCTCACATACAGCCCCCGTAGCAGAGGCGGGCTAAAGATGGCAGAATAGTGCACGCTGACCGAGTACTCCCAGGAGCTGCTAGCGCTGCTTGCTTCTAAGAGCTGATTGGTTGGATGACACGTCAATCGCACCGTCGGACGAGCCGTCCCGGAATGACTGAACTCAGGCGGGACTGTTTGAGTGACACGCGATGCAGCCAATTGTGTCAGCCGAGGCATTGACTGGAGCTGGCGGGTAAACCTTCAGGCGGCTGGAGGCTCCGTCCAAATGTGCGATGCCGGTTTATTGTGATTTGCACTTTGAGAGCTATTATTTGGTAGTTAAAACTAAACTTCAGCCAAAATGCTTTATTTACTTGCAGCCTTTGTCAGACTTCCATTGCTTTGCACTTATTTAGAAGACCCCACTCACTTCCTGTTACGACAGGAAGTGGAGGAAATCTCTCCAACCAGGACCCAGAAAGATACTTTCAGTAGAATGTGGGAGGGTTAGAATGTCTGAAATGTTTATATTGTTGGACGTATTTTCCTGTCCCTATGACAGCCTTGTCACCCGAATTTTGGTATGGCTGTCAAGGAACAGGAAGTGAGGGAATATCTGCATTCTGTCCAATAGGATAACAGAACTATAAACCTGTTAAATAATGATTTATATAAACTTACTTTAGTCCACCTTGGCACAATGTAAGTGTGTGTGTGTGTATATATATGTATATAATTTAGCCACAGATACCACAGTGCTTTACAGGGATCTTCTGGGTTCTATACTGCATAGTGATGAGCAACTTTCCTTCTGATTAAAAAAAAAAGGGGGTCACTTGCTCAGCAGAGCGGCCATTTAGCAAATGCCTAGTATTTTTCTCCATTATGTCGGTCCCTCGTCCAATTTAGAGAACACCTATATTCTTTCATAGAAAATTAAACCTTCTCTGAATGGTGGCTCTACCGAGCGAGCGATAACTTGCATTTTTACAGCAGCTATACAGCACCCAGAATGTTGTTGTAAAGCACTGTAAATCATTATAGCTGGAGTCTCTGGAGTACTATTATTAACTAGCCCCCCCCTCTAACTTATAACTGGAGCAAAAAAGGAAACCTAATGCCCATTTTATTTACCTAAAACCATGGTCACGTGATCCTCCTGTACTGTGTATTCTTTCTTCCTTTGTTTTTGCATCTGGCAGGTTTTGGGTGTTGTTGTCACTGCCTGTGTGAGGAGGACACCTCGTATTTGCTGTCTACCTGCGGGGGCCTTCCAGGATCCAAAAGAGGAGTGATGCCAGCACATGGGGACTGCAGTGGGTCAGCGGTCTCAGGCACATCTGCAGCAAGGGATTAGCAGTACCCTGAACCACCAGCAGCGGGGGACCTGGATGGTGGACTTTGGCTCCATGCATATAGGCCTCCTGCAATAAAAACAGTAAAAGTTATCTGGGACGTATAAGCAATTTTTATGCTTCCCAGATCACTTTTTCCAGTGTTTGGCTGAGTAAAACCAGGCTAAACAGTTCCAGGGTGCAGAACATTATTGTTTGTGTAAACACAGCTAGACTGAATGAACCTAGACGTTGCTGAACATCTTGGTGTGCATTCAGCTATAGCAAAGCATTACATGCTTCCAGGTGCATTTGGAAATGAGCTCCAAACGTGCCTGGATGTATGTATTTTATTTCCTGTATGCATGGGGCCTAAGGTGAGTATACAGGTGAAACTCGAATAATTAGAATATCGTGCAAAAGTAATTGCAGTAAGTGCTCCAAAAGGGGCCCAAACCAAGTACTGAGTACATATGCATGCTTGTACTTTTCAGAGGTCCGATATTGTTCTATGTACAATCCTTGTTTTATGGATTGCATTTAATAATCTACTTTTTTGAGGTTGTGGATTTGGGGTTCTTGGGGTTTTTATGAGCTGTAAGCCATAATCATCACAATTATGACAAATCACTGCTTGAATTATGTTGCTTTGCATGTAATGAGTCTCTCATATATTAGTTTCACCTTTTAAGTTGCATTAGTGAAATGAATGAACTTTGCACGATATTCTAATTATTCGAGTTTCACCTGTATATTGCTTCAGCAGGTAAGAACTCGAAGAAAGCTTGCAGGATTGAGGTGTGATGGCTTATATTTTGCCTGGAATGGAGCTTTAACACTTCCCTTCTTAAGGGGTAGACTTTGAGGATTCTGCTCTGGAGCTGTCATCTATATCCTAGGCTTAGTCCCTAGTGAGTCACAAAACTTGGCTAATGTTTGGCGCAAACCTCATTTTTCATTTCAGGAGGAAAAGGAGGTTGCAGCGTGGGGAAAAATAACAGTGTTGGGGGTGTACCTAAATATATTGGATATAGTGGTGTGGGGTTAGAATATCGTCAGACTTTTATGGCTGTCTGTGTTAACTTTAGGTAGATTCAGTCTCTCAATTTGTCTTGGGGTGACCATTGTCATCAGGATTTAAAGTGAAGGACAAAGCAACATCTTGAGTTGCCACCATAACAGGAATAAAATGTAAATCTTCCAATGGGGACACTTGTTTTGGTGACAACTGTCTAAGAGGGCATTTCCCTCACTTTGAAGAGATTTTGTTCTCATTTCCTGTTGTGTCTACAGAAAGTGAAGGGAAATTTCAAGGAGGCACAGGTGTATGCACCATTCGCTACTACATTGAAAATACAAAGAAAAGTTTTGCCATTAATTATACATTTTTTAAAAAAACATAATTCTGCTTTACAGTGATTGAAAAAGTAGCTAAGGCTAAGGGAGAAGGCAACTTTTTTGTAAAAAAAAAACCGTTTGGAGGAAACTCCATCTATAAATTGGATATGCTGTATCCTAAGGGTCTCAATGTTGAGTGTGACCTGCCAGTGACATCAGCTGTATCTGGGTAAATTCTAATTTTGTTTTAAATATCTCTCCTATATAGTCAGTACAATTCATCGTAGTACACATTGTGATTGTGTTTTGCAATGTTTACCTTCTATCACTTTTTCCATCTCTTCTAGTTATCTAGAGTTACTCCACGATACTTCTTTGGCACTGCCTGCGTCCTCTTCTTGGGCTTTGCTTTGTGCTTCTCTATAGCCGCTGGTGTATTCTGTCAACTGTTATGGTGTATCTAGGGCCCTCTGTGCCTACGTCACATTCTTGCAGTTGGCAGCAAGCTTTCTGGCTGCTACAACCCCGGGTTGGTGCTGGTTGAGCCTTGACCCACCAAAAGTGAAGTGACCCACCATTGTAATTTTATAAGGAGCACTGGGGGTAGGTTTTTTTTCTCACCTGAGGAAGGAGTAACCCTTGAAACCTCAATATTTCTGACACCTCAGTCCCTCCTTCCTACAGTTGGATGCCATTGTAGGGTAATCTGCTTGGTACTATTGTGTCTTATCTCTCTATGTATACCCTAATATATACCTGACTGTGAATCTTGCTGCCTCGCATGTTGTACATTGTTCTTATGCTCATAGCACTCTGTTATATACTGTGTATATATCTTTTTGCATTAAATGTGCATTAACTTTAGGTGTGCTAGTCTTCTTTTTTTTTTTTTTACAGTCCACTTGAGTTTGGGGTAGATGTGATTGCACCTCATTGCGATTATTGTGCTAATCACCTCCTTTTTGGATATAATAATATGTGTGCTGTGAATATCTCTGTTAAGTAAAAGAGTTTTTTTAATTGCAGAGTGAGTAAGAAATGTAATACATATATAACTATTGTAACTGTTTTTTTTGTAATAAAAGGTAATATTTGTATAATGTCCCTCTGTATAGCTGCATTTTTTTTTTTGTAAGTCCCTCGTCACTGTCAGATATCCACCCATGAAAGCAGAAGGCAAAGTACCCTCTTTTCCCTCATACTCTGCATGGCCTTCCTCTCTGTTCTGTTTCAAGCAGCTCCTCTGTCCACTTCCGGATCTTCCCACGTCACTCAGGCACATAAGCCTTCTATTTGGATCCCAGAGTTTACACATCTTTAATGTAGCACCACTTGTTTCCATCTGCTCAGTACAGTCTTACTCTCTTCTGAAGAACACTGTTCAACAATCATTTTCATTCCTCCACACACAATCCACTTGTAGACTTCTTCCCAGTTCTCTAAATCTGATCATATGACCTGGTTGGGTCCAATTAGTGAGACCTCTTCATCAGCCACGCTACAGCAGCTCTGAGCTTTGTATATTATAATTCAGTGCTGTGAGCACAAAGCAGGAACCTAAGATGTGTGCTACAAATGTGCTTAGTGCTTTGCTTCACGAGTCTGAAGCAATGCTAACACCATTCATATTAATGAATGGGGGAAAAAAGGAGGTGGACAAGTCAGATCACATGATCTGTGAGCCATGTGGTCAGCCTCTCCTCTCTAATGAAGGGTGCTCTATGCAGCATTATGTAAAGAACAACCCTGTAGGATGCAGCAGGCTGCATACCATAGTGTGCCTTTTATGAATGGCAAGTAAACACTGCAGAGTCCAAAAGAAATTAACATCTGCTCTCCAGTATGAATGCTTCCCCTTAGAGATGCAGTCCTGTGCCTGTGTATTACTAAGAAATGTATAGAAAATAAGTTGCAAGTTATTGAAACTATGATTTCTACAGATAAATAACTGTCTTTTACAACAAGAATAAATAATGGTTCACACTGTGTTGATTAAGTGTGTCATCAACTATAGCTACTAGCTGAAAACTAATAAAAGGCCACACCAGTATGTTGGGACTGAACTGTATAATCAGGTGGCAACATGATAGTTGTAAATTGAATGTCTATTTACACTGTACACTGTCTTGACGACAATGTCTAAGAAAGGCCTTTTGGAAAAGCAGTACTGCTGCTGATGGGGTCCATTTTCCACTATAGGGACTAATGGGGCATATCTAAGCAATGCTTTTTGGGTTTTTTCCAGACCTAATTTATTGAAGTTTTTCTTTCCATTAAATCTGTGGTAGAAATGCATACTTGTACCAGTGTCATTGTCTCCGTATACAGCAGTTATATACTGGGAACAATGTTATCCATAAAAAAACAATTGTGTAAAAAAAAAAAATCGAGCTTGTCACTTGGACTTATATACATGATTACAGTCCCTCTGTAAAGCTGGCCATACCCTGTAATTTTCGTTGCTGCCAAGTACCCTCTTTTGATTCTAGCTCGAATACCCCATCATGCACAGACCAATGTCATTTCGATAATCGTTCGTTAGCAATACTAGCTGACCGAATCATCGATCGGCAGAACGGATTTTTGTTTTCGCATTTGCAGCGTTCATGATTT